TAATGAAGGGGAAAAAAATGGGAAAAACGCAAAAAGAAGAACAAGGAATGGACTTAACCAAGAGAAAAAAGGCGAAAAAAAGAAAAACTTAAATTAAAAAAAAAAAATTTCAACCAGGAACAGGGAAAAGAAAAAAATGCTGAAAACTAGGACCTGAGAGGAGAAGATTAAGAATAATAGTAAAAAGGACAAAAGTATTAATAATAGTAGTTGTTTTAAAACAGACAAATATAAGCAAACCAATCACCAGAAAAAAGAAAGCAAAAAGTAAAATAAAAATTAAAAAAGAGAAAAATCAGTGGAGGACAGGACAGGGCACCCAGGCTCCATCTGAGCACACAGACTGTGATGGAGTTCCTTTTGGCCCAGAAGGTAGGTGGGGGTGGGGGATGGCCACACCTCAATCACCAAGCAGGTTTGGGTATAAGAGTAACAAGAGGAATGTCGTAGCTTTTCAGTCTTGGAGGTCCTTGGAGTTGCTGGAAAGCAGAACGTCTTCTTAAGCCCCAGGAATCTGCGAGAGCGCTGTCTCTTTAAATATCAAAAATAGTCAAGCTGTTTTAAACATTCAAAATGGCAGTGCCCTCCAGACCGGGAAAAGTCCACAGCTCAGCCCACCTTTCTCTTTATCTTCTCTGTTTATTTTCCAGCCACCAGAGCAGTCATCTGTGCAGTCCCTGGCTAGCAGGACTGATTTTTAGGTTAATTCTTAGGTCCTACCACCACTAAGGAATCTCCAAGCTGTCTGTGCCATGCCATCAGGATCGCTGCCAGACCGCAGGTCTGTCTGTTTCCTTTTTTGGTATTTTCATGCAAATTCTTCTGCTAGTTGGGGTTTAGTCCACTTCTATATCCTTCCCAAGGCTCAGGGTTCCAGGATTATCTTCTGTGTCTGTGTTAATTGGTTTCCCTTTTCTTTGTTGAAGAGAGTCTGTGCAGTCTTTCTGCCTAGTCCGCCATCTTACCAGAACTCCAGCTTGCACCTCTGGAAGTTCTCTCTCAATATACTGCTGCACCCGTTTTTGAATTATCTTCAGTACAATCTTACTTGAGTGCAATGTTAATGATACTGTTTGATAATTACCACATTCTGTGGGATCACCTTTCTTTGGAATGGGTACAGATATGGATTTCTTGCAGTCAGTTGGCCAGGTAGCTGTTTTCCAAATCTTTTGGCATAACTGAGTGAGTCCCTCGAGTGGGGCATCTGTTTGTTGAAACATCTCAGTGAGTATTTAATCAATTCCTGGAACCTTGTTCTTCACTAATTCATTTAGTACAGCTTTGACTTCTTCCTTCAGTACCATTGGTTCTTGATCACATGGCACCTCCTGAAATAGATGAAGCTCTACAAGTTCTTTTTGGTACAGTGACTCTGTATTTCTTCCATCTTCTTTTAATGCTTCCTGCATCATTCAATATTTTGCCCATAGAATCTTTCAGTATTACAACTCAATGCTTAAATTTTTTCCTCAGTTCTTTCTGCTTTTGAAATGCTGAGTGTGTTCTTCCCTTTTAGCTTTCTAACTCCAAGTCTTTGCACATTTCATTACAATAATTGGCTTTGTCTGCTCGAGCTGCTCTTTGAAATCTTTTGTTCAGCTCTTTGATCTTGTCATTTCTTCCATTTGCTTTATCTATTCTCTGCTCAAGGGCAAGTTTCAAAGTCTCTTCTGTCATCCGTTTTGGTCTTTTCTTCTTTTCTTACCTTTTTAATGACCTCTTGCTTTCTTCATGGATGATGTTCTTGATGTCATCCCACAATTCTTCTGGTTTTTGGTCATTGGTATTCAATGCATCAAATCTGTTCTTTTGATGGTCTCTAAATTCAGGAGGGATATATTCAAGATCATATTTTGACTCTTGTGGACTTGTTTTAATTGTGTTCAACTTCAAGCTGAACTTGCATATAAGCAGTTGATGGTCAGTCCGTTCCACAATCAGCTCCTGGCCTCGTTTTAGCTGAAGATACTGAGCTTTTCCATCTCCTCTTACCACAGATGTAGTCAGTCAGTCTGATTCCTGTGTATTCCATCTGGTGAATTCCACATATATAGCCACCGTTTGTGTTGTTGAAAAAAAGGTATTTGCAATGAAAAAGTTGTTGGTCTTAACAAAATTCTGTCATGCAATCTCCAGCATCATTTCTGTCACCAAGGCCAAATTTTCCAACTACTGGTGATTCTTTTTTGTTTCCAACTTTTGCATTCAAGTTACCAGTGATAATTAACACATCTTGATTGCATGTTTGGTCAATTTCAGAGTGCAGAAGCTGATAAAAACCTTCAGTTTCCTCATCTTTGGCTTTGGTAGTTAGTGCATAAGTTTGAATCATAGCCCTATTAACTGGTCTTTCTTGTAGGCATATGGATATTATCCTCTCGTAGCATAGTGCCTAAGGCACTTGACTGCTAACCAGAAGGCTGGTGGTTCAAACCCACCAGCCATTCCTCGGAAGAAAGGTTGGGCAATCTATTTCTGTAGTGATACTGCCTCGGAAACCTAAGGAGGGATCGCTATGAGTCGGGTCTGACTCCATGGCACATAACAACAACAACGACAGCATTGTACTTTGGGACAGATTTTGGAACATCCTTTGTGATGATGAACGCCATGCCATTCCTCTTCAAATTGTTGTTCCCGGCATAGTAGACCACATGGTAGTCTGATTCAAAATGGCCAAAACCAATCCATTTCAGCTTACTAATGCCTAGGATATCAATCTTTATGCGTTCCATTTCATTTTTTACAACTTCCAATTTTCCTAGATTCATGCTTCATACATTCCATCTTCCGATTATTAATGGATGTTTGTAGCTGTTCTCCTCAACGTGAGTCATGCCGTGTCAGCATATGGAGGTCTAGAAAGCTTTACCTTACCCCTATCAGTAAGGCTGGTTCTACTCTGATGATGCAGCTCTTCCCTGGTCCTATTTTGAGAGCCTTCCAACCTAAGTGGCTTATCCTCCTGCACTGTATCAGATAGTGTGTCTGAGCTATTCGTAAAGTTGCACAGTAATGTATCAGGCACTGTTTCTATACTATCATAAGGTTTTCCCTGGCCAATTCTTTGAGAAGTGGATGGCCTCCTCCTTCTTCCTAGTCTGTCTCAGTCTGTAAACTTTTGAAACATGTGCACCATGTGCAGCCCTACTGGGTTTGAAATACTGGTGGCACAGCCTCAAGCCTCACAGCAACACGCCACCACAATAGGACAAACTGACAGACAAGTTTGTCTCCGTTAGCTGTTCAAAACCTTGCCACCCTCCCCACCCTCACCTTACATAGATCCCTGCCTCTTTCCTGCTCTTGGGAGGGCCATGGCCTGTGTTCCTGGCCTCACCTGGATCCCTCCCTCTGCTTCCTTGCTCTGTCCTGGCCTGCCCCCCCCCCAAGCTTTTTCTCTGCTTTTACACTGCTTGGGAAGGCTGTGGCCTGGTCCCCGTCCTTACTTGGATCCCTACCTCTGCTTCCTCGCTTTCTCCTGGTCCCTCCGCAGGCTTTTTCTCTGCTTTACCGCCACTTGATTAGGTGTCAAAATTGTCTGAGGGTCTGGGGCTTAAAGTTGGTGGAGTCACGGTCAGTGCAAAGCATTAACCGTTCTTTGAGTTCAGGATTTGCACCTTCACTGCTTGAAGACATACTAGGGCATGAGCTGGAGAAGCCTGTCAACCACAATTTTCTTTCTCCTAAATGTTTTATTTTTTATTTTTTCCTGTACTTAATTATATTTGTAATATAAGATGAGACATGATGCCATTATTTTGATAATTTTTTATTAAATACAAAATTTTGTTAAGTTTTTAATTTTTTAAGACCAGGTTAAATTTAACAGTGATACTCATGAAAATTTCACAATTATAATTTGATTTCCATAATCTCTTTGAAAAATTATAATCCTTGTACCATCCCACTTCTTAATATTAGACATAATGACAACAGCAACTTGAAAGATTCAGTAGGAACCATACGAGGCAGTAAGTTTATGTTAACAGAGAGGAGCAACTCAGAAAAGGAGTATGAGAATGGTTGCACAACCCAGATAATGTGATCAGTGTCACTAAATTGTGCATCCAGAAACTGTTAGATCGGTGTATGTTTTGCTATGTATATTCTCAACAACAACAGCAAAATTTAGGGGGAAAAAATTAGACATACCAAAGTTTGTGAAAGTAAGTAAAACTTTCCCAGAGTCTCTAAAAACTACCTTTTCTTCCTTTTTAATTTTATTTCATTTCATTACTAGCATTGATGATGAACACTTTCTTAATTTATTTCTTTCAAGTTATTATTGCAACATTTGTTTTTTACTTTTTAAGTTGTAAAATAGATCAAATAGGTTTTTGTGGAATCTGCCCAAAATCCTAAGAACAATTTTTCTATAGGAGTACACATTCTGAATTTAAAAAAAAATAAATAAAATTTAAAATAAACTTTGGAATGTTACCAATTTATTACTTGGATGTTATGCAGTGGTTAAGTGCTTGGCTGTTCACCAAAAGAGTGGCAGTTCAAACCCACCAGCTGTACCAGGGAAGAAAGATGTGGCAGTCTGTTTTCGTAAAGATTACAGACTTGGAAACCCTGTGGGGCAGTTCTGCTGTATCCTGTGGGATTGCAGTGAGTTGGAATAGACTCGATGGCAGTGAGTAAACCAATAAAACGTTGTGAGTTATAGAGGAAGTATTTTGACATTTGATTAATAATTTCCCTGTGATAAAAGAACTATTCATTATTTTTAAGTGATGAGAACTTAGGTATTTTTAACTGGAGATTAGTTAAAAGATTACATGTGTTTTGGATAATTATTTGGTTATGGCTTGATCAACTAGCATTGCTGTTATCTCCTGGAGAAATATTTCCTCAGAAACCTATGTTCGCAATCTTAAACTATCATAAATCAAAGAATCTCTTTCTGGAGGGAACTTTACAAACATTTTCACTTTAGAAAACCTTTTTATGTAACTGTTGGTATTTGTCCCCATTTATTTTATTTTTAGAGTTACTGTGACAACAACATACTTTGGGCACTCTGAACAGATATCCCAGGAGAGGTACCAGTATGTCGATTGTGGGAGGAACACGACTTACCAGTTGGGCCAGTCTGAATATCTAAATGTACTTCAACCACAGCAGTGAAAACTGAAGAGACACAGCTGGAGAAGAACACATACCTGCTATGTTCAAAACTTTCTAAGATGAGGTACTTCCTAATAGGAGATCTTAAATTGAACTTACCTTAGCTTGTACTACTATTTTAAGAGTACATTTAAAAGTATGTGGACTTGTAGTTATTGCAACTCTGCGCTCTGGTGTTAACGATGTATTTGTAGCAGGATATTTTATGTGAAGCCAAATTTCATGATTGGTTTTCTTTTCCTCCTTCCTCCCATAGGGGAAGAGTGAAACTTCCTCTATAGGACAATAAATAATAATTTAAAATTCACAGCTCCAGTCACTGCTGAAAATATTATTTGGGTGATAAACATAATTTGAAAACTTTACTTCTGAATGTTTTTATAGAGAATTACTGATAGTCTATTATTCATGGAGGATTTTTAAAGAATAAATTTTCCTATTTTATAGTTCTCATTGTATGGTAGTATTTCAACTACCTGATGTTTTAGCTTTTAGCTAAAAGGTTTCAGCTTTTCATTTGTTGAAATTCTGGTCATTTGCATGTTTTGCCAATCTTATTTCAAGCCAGTGCTTGTATAATACTTAATAACCAAAATAATCTTTGCAAAACTCTCTACCTAAATTTTTTTAATTCCCCTAAATAATGTGGTTCGTGTCTTTTCATGTTAGTTGTAGTATCATGAAACTTTGTGATCTTCAAGAATAGTCATTTAATGTACAATATTGTATATAAACTCTGCATGGTTTTTATATAGCTTTAATAAATGTCAAATAAAGTGGTACAGATTAACAACTTAAGTTGCTCAGAAAAGTAAATAAAAGTGAAATCCAGAAACCTATAGTATGTGAATATGGTTCCAATTACATATTGCATCTGGTATAAACTAGATTTGAAATCATATGTTTTAATGATCCACTTTTTTTATGTTGCTTTTCATACTAAAGAATTGTGAAGACCCTTGCTTTTCACACCATTGGGTACTGAAGTCATCAATTTTATGAATGTTTCAGAGGATGGAATTAACTTCTTTTGTAGAAATTATTCAAGATGATTGCATCATTAAATTGATGATGGCTACATTGAAGTCAAACCTTTATTGTGCTTTTTAAAATGTAATCACTTCGCACATCACATGAATATGATGCTCTAAAAGTTAACTACTTTGGTTTTATTTAAAATTGTTTTCAAGTGTAAATTACTGATTTACTGGCTTTGCTGTTTTACATTTTTAATACCTTTTCTATTTGGTCTTTTCACTCACCAAGTTCTAAGTACCTTTTAAGTAGATATCACTGAGCCTAGGTATTAAGGTCTAATACCAAAAAAGTTAGAGGCTTGAGATTAATACCTTTTTATTTCCTAGTGACAGAATTCAGGTCTGTCCCCACATTCCCAACCCCTAAGTGCCTAACTGAGGTCTGAGATATAACCTATTTATCAGTCTGCCTCTCTCAACTATAAAACATAAACTGTATTTAATTATTTAGATCTAATGAAGCCCTCCTTTTTCCCTTTAAACACACTCAAGTCTCCCTTCAGTCTTCATAATGTTTCTCCAAATTTTCCATTGAACATTTAAATGTGTAGAATTTTCCGACTAACTTCTTTTCCTTACTATGTAGTCTTCATTTCATCCATTGTTACCTCACCTAACCTTATTATTAGAAGAAAATCACCACTTTAAATTTACTTTAGGTTTTCTCATCAAACTCAATCTGTATTTTCATTTTCTCTTTGGTTTGCTGACTGCTGTTTTTGTATGGTAGTACACACTTTTCTAATGTATTGATTCTACTTAAATTTTAAAAGTCATTCTCATTTCAATTTCCTCTCATTTCCTGTCTTTAAACATCTGTTAATAAGTATGATCTAGGTCTCCTTTTGCCTCACCTTTCTTTTCTTGTGATTTCAGCAAACATCTTTATCTAGATTAGGGCTTCCAAATCTGTTCTACATACTTGACCAGTCACCCAGCTAGTTTCATATTTACTTAGTAACAGAGAGAGTATTTTTATAACTCTATGTATAAAATCAAAAAATGTTAAAGAATCTTTATTATAGCCTATTAAACTAAAAACCCTTTATCTAGTTTTAGTATAGAATTTAAATCAGAATATATTGGAATTTAAATGAGGTTTTTTTTTTTTTTTTTTTTTAAATCAATGGTAGGAGAAAAAAATTGCCTGTAACTACAGGCGTACCTCAGTGATGTTGCCAGTTCAATTCCAAAGCACCACAAGGAAGTGAATATTGCAGAAAAGTGAATTACACAAATTCTTCAGTTTCCCAGTGCATATAAAAGTTATGTTTACACTGTACTGAAGTCTTTTAAGAGTGCAATAGCATTATGAAGGAGTTTTAGATATTGTGAGAATTATCAAAATGTGACACAGAGCATGAAGTAAGCACATGATGTCAAAAAATGGCACCAGTAGACTTGCTTGATGCGGGGCTACCACCAGGCTTCAGTTTTAAAAATATACAATATCTGTGAGGGACAGTAAAGTGGAGCACAATACAATGAGGTATGCCTATATTCTCAGAGAGGTTTTGGGAAATGCCTGGATAAGCTGCAATAAAACAGGCTGTAAATAAATAACACTACAAAAATGCATCCAGGTGAGATCATTATAGCCATAAAAAATCTGGAAAGAGTGAATTATGTTTTAACTTCTCTTAGGTCAATGTCTAATTCCTGTTTAAATGTTAAGAGATAAGTATTATTACATTTTGTTTTAAATACTGCTTTCAGACCTTATCCAGAGGACATGGTTAAAGATGTTCCAAATTTGTTTCTGATACTTCAAGTAATAATTTTCTCCTGTGTAACACCTCAGTAGGCTGTTCTTTCTGACTGAATTCAATACAATAGCAAACTGTCTTGATAATTACATATATATATGTGTGTATGTATGTATGTATATACACACACATATACATATATATAAAAAACAAACTCACTGCTGTTGAGTCAGATCTGACTTATAGCGACCCCTCCTTAGGTTTCTGAGGCAGTAGCACTACAGAAGTAGATTGCTCAGTCTTCCTTCCAAGGAGTGGCTGGTGGGTTTGAACAGACAACCTTCTGGTTAGGAGTCAAATGCTTTAGGCACTATGCTACCAGAGCTTTATATATCACTTTGCTCTTTTTTTTAGCACTTTCACATGTTTTCTTACACAATTCCCCACAGTCCTATAAGTCAGACAAAGGAGGATAATAGGATCGACATCTTTTAGAAGAGGTAGGAAGGACATGGAGAAGTTGAGGGACTTGCTGAAAGTCATATAGTTAGTAAATAATTTAATTGGGGCCAGATTTCGTTTTTCTGTCTCCTGTATCTGTGTTTCATTTTAAATATCCATTGGACAGCCCAGCCTGGCTCAGATTAGGTGTGATTAAAAATTATAGGAAAAAAATAACAGAATTAATAGTTAAAAATCAAAACAATACCGATGTACTAGACTAAGACTTTGGTAGCTCTAAGCTGGTATTTGAAATTTTGTAAATGGGGAATAAACACATGTATTAGAGCATAATGTATGTCTTAATTTTTCTGTTAATATTTAGTATTTCTTGATTATTCCCATAATATAACTGACAAATTATCAGAGAAAATATTGATAAATGATAGAGATTAATATATTTGAGATTTGAAAATAAAAGCAGTATGAAAATAGTAGAAACTGGATTAATTGCTTCAAATTGCTAACTGACCATTTTTTACTAGTACATCACATTTAAATTACTAGTTTTATTTGTGTGCAGTTTTTCTGTGCCTTTTTGTTTAGGCCAAAAAGATAATTATTTTCTCTAAAAATTTAAAGGAAAATATAATACATTTCAGAAAATATTTGAAAGTAGCACATTACAGCACTAAAATAGATAGGAAGTGACTGCCAAAACAGAATAAAAGTAACTTTTTTTGGATACTTGAAACTTTAGTCCTAATGAATTATTTTTGGTACTTAGTTAGCCTCATCATTATTGTAATACAAATTGTACAATGTCATTGGAGAACATGTCCACAATTCTTCCAACCTCATTTTTTGTTTTTTACGGTTTTTGGAATGAATGGTTTCTTATATAATGATTATATCTATTTAGGAAAATAGTTTGTTAGGTACCCCCAAAATAAGTCACTGCTCAATATATTTCATATTTATTGGATACTTATATGTCAGATACTGTGCACATCTTTTATATGTATCATCTTCTTATTCCTCAAAACAGTTCTCTAAAGTAAATACTGTTATTTTCTTCCATTTTACACATAAGGAAACTGATTTTTAGAGAAGAAATAACCATATGCTAGAAAGTGACATTCAGAATTGAAACCAGTTCTGTTTCATTCAAGCATCATTGATCTTACCATTTAACATATCTTACCAGTCTTTAAAAATATTTAATTTGTAAACATACATTCATTGCTATACATATATAAGACTATTAATTAGGATGTTTTATTAACTTGTAGAACTTTGGTATAATGAAAATGTTCACCATTGATTTAAAAGATATTAATGCTTATCTATTGGACAAGAATTTTTCTTTTTTAAAATTGTAAAATTAAAAATTTACAAATATATAGCAGCCTTCTTTGATAAACAGTATGACTTGAATTTCAAGTTATTAGGAAAATGTTACTTACCATAGTATCATCAGGTAGTGTTTTTTAGCTTAACAACATCTAGAGGTAGCAACTACTTGAGTCTAATACATCTAAGAATTAATACTTTTATTTCACTTTTTTGTAAAATCAGATTTCAAATGAGATGTTTATCTTTATTTTAAGGAAAACAATATTACATGTTTGAGAGGGTGGGATAAAATGATTAAGCAGTATTTTTTTAAATGTGGTTTTTATTTTTACATTAATATAAAATATTTGTGGTTGGATCAAAACCTTAACTTATATATCCCAAAATATTTATTTAAAAATATACATTTTGACTTATCAACTAAAAATTCTGATTAGAACTAATATTTGTGTGTTTTGTG